CTATAAATCTTTTATGAGCTTCACATATACCAGCATTAATAGATTTGGGTGCCCAGCCATGGCTCACTAGCCTGAAGGTGGGTTTGGTAAATATTTCCACAGAACAGAAAGAGGTTTTGCCTCAAGATTCTGGGACCTGGTTTCTCCCTGGATCCCCCATCAAAGTCCAAGAGACTGTACCCACTTCCTGACACCTTTGCTGCTGTGCAAGTCACCCCACACCTAGTACACCAATTCAACCTCATCCTTTCTATTACCTAGCTGAGGGACACTGCTTTGGACTCTCTAGCTCTGATATGGTTTTACCATAACAGATCATACTAGGCTTTAACCCAAAATGCACTTTCCTTGGGAGTTCAGACACCTTCTCTCTTTAGTGCGGGCCCAGGCATTTTTCCAACAGGAATAATGAGTTTGGGAGAGAAAATGGCTAACATGACTACCATCTTATCCAGAGCTCTTAGCAAGACCCTTTCCCATCTCCAACCCAACTTTCCCCAGGTCTGATTAGCTGTCCAGAGAAGTTGCCATTGTCTCTTTAAGTGAAGAATGAGTCATTTCCCACAGATACCTCTGCTGAAACCCATCCACTAGGCAGCCCCCCCCCAGCATTTTTTTATTCTTCCATTAATTAAAACAACTAATGTCCCATTTTTTTATCTTTGCATGAATGGAAATCATTAGAGCCCTTGCAGGTATATGGGAAATTCTGTTTGCTTAAGTATTTACACTTTGATTTCCTATAGGCTCATTTTTTTCGAGCATAAAAAGATTCAAACAAAACAAACAACAACAACAAAAACAAAATCTATGACACTTTGCAATGAAATATGACAGCTAGTTTGCAATGAGCTTATGAGAATCTCTGGTAGGAAGAAATATTCAGAGGGTCCTCTACTAGCACTAAAGCTGACCCTCTGATAAAGGGGTTCTAGACACTTAAGGCAGACATTGATAGGTCAGCAGACTCAGGTTTTTAATTTGTGCTTGTTTGGAGTCAGATGAGCTCATCCAAATTGACTTTCAAACCACTGTGTCACTCTCAAAAGTAAATAAGAAAAAAAGGAAGAAGAAGAAAAAAAAAGTCAGTGCACAATTGGGTCTGTTTGAACGTCCCTATCAGTTGACCGGGTTCAGCTCACATCTCCATTTCTGGGGGCAGCCATAATTAGAGCGATCTATTTTGCATTTACTTCTCTTTGCAAGCAGTACATTATCCACTCTTCCCATGCTTATTAAACAGTGCCACCTGCACCAGATCCAACAAAGCTCTCCCATCAGTCAGGCCCCGCTAAGGGTCCCAGACCATATATTACCATTAACTGAAGCTCAATTGAATAGTTAAAGATGAGTAAAACCAGCAGTTTCCAGGATCTGTTTATGAAAATCTTTTCAGCAAATAAAAATATGAATTCCTCAAATTATCTTTTATAAACCTGTTTCATTTTGTCCATACAGTAATTCAAGCAGCATTTATCAAGTTGTTGAATTAATGAACTATCCTCTGTATGTCACTGAGGTGCCTCCAGCACAAACGTTCGTAGGTACTAGCCAACGAAGTCAATATTTTGTCACTCAGAGCCTCTGACGCTGACCACCTTGATAGCCCTAATGGTGTAAAAAGGATCTGAAGAGCCCAAGACAAGGCTAAGAAGCAAAAGACAATTCTCAGGAAAGCAGCCATGGATCCAGAGAAAGGGAGAGTCAGAATAATGCAAGGCAGAAACAGAAGAGACAGGCACAGAGTGAATCTGCATAGACATCAGTGGCTACAGAAAGACACAGGAAGTTTCCAGCAAACAGGACAGTTTCTGACATTCAGATCCAAAGCTGATGATTTACACATATTTAAGAGCCTCAAACCTCAATGTGGCTTGTTCTTTTAAAAGCTTCCTGCTTTGTTCCAAATACTGCTTATCGTTGGTATTGTCAACAGCTCTGCATCTGGGAGAGATTAATTAAGTGATAGGTCAGACACAATGAGGTGAAAGGGCATGTCCACCCAATCGGGGCTGATTCATCCATTTCAGGGTGGATCAACTTTTTTTTTTTTTTTTTTTTTTTTTTTTTTTTTTTTTTTTTTTTTTTTTTAGAGAGAGAGAGAGGGAGGGAGGGAGGGAGCATGAGGCCAATTTTGGTCCCATCTCAAGGGAGGATTTGTCAATAGGGATGTCTGAGCTCCTCTGGTGAGGGTTCATAGCTGGAAAAGAATGTTTTGCAGACAGACAAAAAAAAATCTGAAAATCTATCTTTTTAAGGTATGAAAACAAGTCCCAACTATCAATCCTGTCTGTATACTTAGGTTTTCCAGTCTGGGTGAGAGCTCATTTTCCTAAATATAATTATTTTACAAAATAAATAATTGGATGGTTATAAATAAGATTGCTATTTTATAACAATAAAAATTTTAAAGTTCATTTTCACTCCCATCTCCTCTCCCTAAGTGTTTGATGCAAGGCAACTCCTTCCTCTCAAGTCCACTTTTAATTTCTAGATGAGAGAAAGACATAGGAAAGAAAGGGAGTAGGAGAGGAAGAGAGGAAATGAAAGAGGAAAAAGGGAGGGGTTCTAGGTGTCATGGGCTAAATTTTTTCCAAACCAATTAGAGATTATCTTTAAATCTCCATCCTCCAGCCCTCCACACCTTTCTAAATAAATCTTTAGATTAATGAGAAAATAGTTAATTGGGGAAATCTATGTGGCCAGTTAGCGTGGTTCCTAAGCAGAAGGGGTGGGGCACTTTAGATCCTATCCCAGAAATGGTCCCTCCCCATTTCTTCATTGGTGCATCAATGTGGGTCAAAACTGGTGGCAAAATTGTGTGTGTGTGTGTGTGTGTGTGTGTGTGTGTGTGTGTGTAACATATAGATGCAGGACAGGCAGACAGATGTAAATTCTGAGCCTGTGAACAAGGCTGGGTCAGGTTAAAGTGATTGCTCTGGGCAGGCTCCAAGTAAGATATTTGGAATATTTTTATTTCATTCTTGAGCATGTCTGCTAATGCGATTCCCATTTTCTAAGGTTTTCTTTTCTTTTCTTTTTTCAGATGGGTGTTAAGCAACGGTAGGGATGTTTTTCAATTGACTAGCTATTTCCCTTTGCCCGAGCAACCAAATGCTAGTTTCTTAGTTATCCAATTCTTTAAGTCATCTGGGATCTATCTATATTTCTAAAACTGAGCAGAAATACTTAACAGCCTGATCAATATCCATTGACCATCAGCACACCTCACACCCTAACATGCACAGCTTGATCATGTATTTTTGATCATTGAAAAATTCAGAGCATCTTTGGCAGTATATCAAGCTTCCCATAAAATAGTCTGTCTCTTTCTGTGGTCTTAAAAAAGAGTGAGTTGCTCTCTCTCCTGCATTCATCTATCCATCCATTTACACACACACACACACACACACACACACACACACACACACACACACACACAGACAGAGACAGAGAGAGAGAGACAGAGACAGAGAGAGATGGAGACAGAGACAGAGACAGAGAGACAGAGACAGAGAGAGATGGAGACAGAGACAGAGAGACAGAGAAAGACCTCCTTTCTGGAGAATTTATTGCTCATATATTTGATGAAGAACAAGGTAATTAACTGCAAGGCTGTACATCTGGGCAGCACTTTATATCCATTGCAATAATAAAACACTTTTTTCACATTTTAGCTGAAGAAAGGCTTAGTCCTGCCCACAGATTCAGAGGACCCCAGAGTCTCTGTGTGCAAAGCCTCGTTGTTATAAATCCTGCCTTTCTCTTAAGTGATGGCACACACAATTGCACCAAGGGACACTAAGTTTACTGTGCAAAGGCATTGCACAAGAAGCTGGTCCCTTCTCAGAGCTTTAGCATCAGCATGCGGTGGTTTGAAACATATACAGCTGATTCTTGCACCCCCAATCTGCTAGGCAGCAAACTGGGCAAGAGTCCAGGGACTTATCCTGTAAAAGGCCACAGGATCCTAAGGGCTGATTACCTGAGAATGTGCCACTATGATCTAGTTACCCCAAAAGGAACCATTTGTGTCGAATTTTCTCATATTCAGAGCCCAGAAAACTGTTTCCAAGTTTCTCCATAAGGGAACCCACAGATACATTCAAATCGCTCTAGGGATATGACCCAAAGTTCCCAGCACAAATCCTTAGAACCTCAACCCCAGAGACCACCCCTACCTCCAGCCTGGAAAAAAAATTACCTGCAGAACCTCCCATCTCCGGAGTCCCCTGCTCTGTATTGCAAACTGTGCCCAGCACAAATTATTGGGGGGGGGGGCGGCTTCCTTCTAAAAGCAGCAGCATCTGGGCCGAGGCTCCCTTCTTTAAAGGAGGGAGGACTTCATATGATAATACGTGTAATATGATATGGAATGACAGAATGCATGACAGTTGCCCATAATACAGAGAAAGTCAGTCAAAGGACAGAGGGGACATTTGGATAATTACCATCCATTGGCTAGTCAATCACTCGAACAGAGAGAAACTGCACAAAACCCACAATGGAGTTGGGAAACAAAAGAGACCCGAGCCAGACTCAGGATTAACCGGTCTAAAGCGATCTAAATGCTTTTGTGTCTGAAGAACTGAGGCTCCCGGGTTGCCCCCCCTCGTCCCAGGGAACTAATTGCGGGGATCAGAGATAAGGCTCTCTCCTTCCTTTCCTATTTCTTTGTAGACTGCTCACCACACAGTGAAAAACAAATGATTTCTCTCTGTGTGTTCATTAAACTACTTTAAAGTTAAAGGTGCAGGAGAGAAGCTAGGTGCAGCCCCCTGTCCAGAGGTTGAGAGGATACCCCTTGGAAGGTGCTAGAACAGGCTCCCTTGGCCTTAATTCTTTGTTTGAGGGCGAAGTCTTTCCCTCTTGCCCCCTGGACGCAAATGCTCGCGCACCTGACTGAGGCTGGGCAGCTGCCTCCATTCTGGCAGAGATGGACGACTGGTACCCGGCTTTGAGTGAAAAGTCTCTCTGCATTGCCCCCACACTAGAAAAACACCAGGCCCCTGCCCCGAGTTAAATACTCCAACTGCACATCTAATTAAGTGGGGTAAAGGGGTAACAGAGAAGAGCGCCTAGCCTTCAGCATGGGAGAGTGCTGCCAACAGAGCCGGTTGTAAATTGTGGGCAGAGAGAAATTCTTTCTAAACTGACGAGTGAGAAAGAGGGAACAAACCTTCTAAACTGGGAGGGAGAGAAAATATGCTTGTTGGGAAAAAAGAATAGAGAGACCCACTTCTTGCTTAGGGGAAGGAGAAGAAACATGTCTCTAAAGAGACTTCAGAAATGGTGACTTCAGAAACCGAGAGATGATGGTGAGAGAGGAAGAGAATTCCTTAAAAGAGGTGGACGCTAGAGCTCCGTACCCGAAAGTCAGACCCTCCGCTCCCAGGACTAGAAGACTGGTAACTATCACCCAGTTTTTTCCAGGGTCTCAATCCACAATTCATCTGGTGTCCCTGGCGGTCCCTCGCAGGTTCCAGGCTGGGTGGCAGCCGAAGCTTCTGTGCCGACCCGCGGGTGCACGCTGTGGCTCAGCCCAGCGTCCTGTGCGCAGCCCTCCCGGCCCGGCTCCTCTTACCTTGGCGAGCACTCGGCAGCGGGTGTGGCCGGCTCTGCGGGCAGCCCCGGGCCAGGGCCGGGGCGCGGGGGGCGGCGGTGCAGGACTCGGGGGCAGCAGCAGGGTGAGCACTGGAAGGGCTGGCACGGTGCCCAGAGGGGGGGACCGG